TGTGTGCAGCAAAGCCGAACACAGCAAAACCCTCTGATTCAAAAGATACCTTCCGATCTTTCATTTTGCCAGGCCAGCTGAGCCGCACATGCGCTGTGGCATGGACAAGTGATTTGACGGACATCGTTCTTGAGGTGTCTGAAGAGGGGGCCCGTGGGACCTCTGATGCCGACAGGTGCACATTGCGCCAATTCTTGAGGGAGCTAGAAGACTCAGGCATAGCCGATACAACAGTGAACTCCCATGAGATCAAGGCCCCTGTTGACAGTGCTTCAGGCCAGGATTTGATTTTATTCTGGGTTCAAGTTCTTTTAATTCACAGGCTCGCTGGGTCACAAACTATGAGATGTCAGGACTTGCTCCATACATCATCAAGCCCAAGACGAATTGTCAGCACTTCCAATACAATACCGTGTCGACCTACAAGTTCACGAACGTTGCATCAGCGTTTACCGTCAATGACTCTCTGTAAAAAATGCATGTCACATGAAAAACGCCCAGTCCTTCCCAGCCAGTCTTCTCTTCTTCCATACCATCCCAGGAGTTGGACGCAAGCAGAGCTTTGGAGAAGGTATGGAGGGTTTCGTATGTCAAGGAATCAAATGAATCTTGGAATCATATAGACTCACAATTCTCATCATGACTTTCAAAAGAATGTATGGAGGGTTTCGTATGTCAATGAATCAAATGAATCCGAATGAATCTTATGATATTCTCACATGACTTTCAACGGCAAAGCCGCGCCGAGGAGATCTCGCCCAGAGACTCGAACAAAAATGAGTCGTAAGTGAATCAAACCTGAGTATTCTTTAACCTGAGTATTCTTGAATGAAGTATTTTTCAAGGGTCTTTGATCCAAATCTGAGGAAAACCCCTCTATTTTTTGCGGCATGAATTGAAGCTGAGCCCAAACTGTGTGGTGAGACTTGTGTAGCTGCTCCATTGAGAGACAGCTTCTTTACTCTTCTGCCAACCTTTGGCAAACTGACTTCTGAGCTGGGGCCAGAAAAAGATCGTGAGCAAGCGGCCAGGCTTTTTTCTCTGTTCTCTTGTCCCGGCCAAGTTTCCAAAAAAAACTCTAACTTCTGAATGCTATTAGTTAACTCCTGAATGCAAGGAAATTTCCTTAAAAGTTAATTGGAAATTGCATACCAATGCAAGCAAGACACCTCGCTTTTCAAGTATGGTATAGTCATGTAGGGATTACTTCCGAGTATTTTTTCGTTTTTGCGACGCAGCAACACTCGAAAGTGGATAGCTAGCAGACATCGAAGGGAAACGCTCCGTCCAGCCGCTGGGGACTGAGCCGCCCAGAATTCGAAGGGATGTCCATCAGCAGGGGTGTCTGTCGCTGCTGTCGTCAGAGAACATGCATGGCAATAACCCTTGCTGGATACTCTGGCACTACATTCCGGAAGGAGGACTGAGCCATACCTAGCTGGAAATAAATAAGATATGCAGAGGTAGAGGTGCACATGTGCTCTTGGGGGGCAAGGCAACCATCAAACGGAAGGCAAATGGGAGAGCAAGGCTTCTGCCAAGGATGCGCGGACTTCTTCCCAAGCAAAACAACTTGCGAAACCAGTTTCCATCTCAAAGAAGAGCGTCTGAAAGTGCTGTTCAAAGATATGGGAAATACAGGCGGAGCCAGCGGTACCTCCACTCGCGTAAGAATGCAAGACATCAGATATCCCTGCGTGCGCAGCGTCGGAGAGAGCAATGGGCTCGTTTCCCACCGCGCAAAAGCGCACACGTAGTTCTTGAGAAAGGATGTGTAATGGCCCAATGATTATTTGTTTTTCAAAGTTCATTGCAACGGCTGTTTGGATGTTCTGCAAGGTGCGAGCAGCGCCAGGTGGGAGCGTGTGTGACTGAAGAAGTGGGTTGCCTCCGTGTTTGCAACGCGCCAGCGCCGCACCTGAGGGTTCCTGGAGACCACATTGACCGTTTGTAAAAACTCAAAGGAAGTTCCTCTCAACAGGGTGGAAATCTTCCATGGATCGAACCAGGTTCCAATTCATCGGCGCAGCATGTCGTCACATAGTCCAGGAAGCGAGGCGCGCCCCACTGTGCAATAGTCGTGGCAACGATTGCGCGCAGACGTTGTGCCACAAAGGGACGCGGAGCGTCCGGGTGAAAGAGCACTTCGAGCTTGGGCGGTAGTGCGCAAACTTGACTCCGCCAAACTTGCAATGCGGCTGCAACCGAAAGGAAGAAGCAATCGCCGCCAGCCCCAGGATCCCCAGTAAACGCTCGCAAGCGATGCATCCTTTGCAGGTATAGGTTTCCGCGGTGTGTGGCGAAGGAGGAGGACATGGTCTCTTCTTCTGCCGCGCAATGTTTTGCGTCGCGTGGTGTGTACCAGCAGCCACCTGGAAGCTTGCACGGTTTGCAGGCATGGTAGGCGGACAGGTTGATGGCGAGTGGAGACACGTGCTTTCGCTCGTGGAGGGTGCGCCAGCAGCCACCTGCCAGGCATCAGAAGTTCAGAAGCGTACACAAAGGTGCCATCCGAGGACTTGTGGAGAGGTCGCGGCAGCTGCGTCGGAGGTGGAAAATCTGGAAGAAACGCCGCGAGAAACCGCAGTAGCGGAAAGAGATGCAGCGTCCTATGCACGGCATCATCAATGCAGCCATGCAGGTTGCATGTCATGGATGAAGGCTGTGCTGCTATGGCAGCATCATGCCTGCTTGCAAAGGCAAAACCAAAGATGAAAGGCTGGACAGTCTCTGGTGTGATGTCACAAAATTTATATGCAGAGCATGTGTCCAGTGATGTGAGATTGCCCAAATTCAGGCACAGTGGCATTAAGAAACCCAAAAAGCCTTCTGAATTGGATGGCAAGGCTGCTGGTGTTAGGCATTTCTGCACACATGTCCTAGAAAAGCTTGCCCGCAACCAAAGCCGGATAAAGGCTCCAACCACCAGAAGGCTGTTTGCAATGTGGCCAGGTTCTGTGGTAAGTGCAATACTTGGCTCTGGAAAGCGAAACCATGTACAAAGATGAAGATGCCGCTCTCACATGGAGGGCAACACCGAAATTGCATCTGCTCGAGCACATCATGGATGAAGTATCACTGGGAGCCCACCCCAAAGATTCTTCAACATATATAGACATGAAAGGCCACATTCAAGCCCTATTTTACAGAAGGTGTGGCCGGCATTCCTTTTGTGTGGCAGACACGGGACTTGGTGCTCTGGTTGCAACCCTGGCGTCCCTTGGTCTCCGCCGCTGTGCCGGTGGCTTTTGCGTGGCAGGCGCGGGACTTGGTGCTCTGCAAGGGGTTGGATGTACGCCCTCGGGTCGCTGTATCGCCGCCAACCACCAACCACCAACCACCAATTGTCCGCTCCTGTGTCTGGTGAAGTTGTTGTTAACATGTGGGGTTATCCGGTTCTATAATTTATTTGATATTATAACATCCGGTTCAAAAATTTAGTTGATATTATAACTGCTTGCCCCACATCACTATGTGGGGTTCTAGTTTTTCGCTGTGCACCCGCCGCTGCCTCGGCGCTCGCCGCCTCCGGCGCCGCCTCCACTCATCTTACTCATCTCACACCACCCATCTTACACCGCTCATTTTACACCACTCATCTTACACCACTCATCTTACACCACCTATCTTACACCACCTATCTCACACCACCCATCTT